ATTGTGCAGCACCCGGGGAACACTGTGGGGTTAAGGGTTTTGCTCAGGGATCAGCAGGACCTCAATGAAGCCATTTAAAATGCAGCAGGGTTTTTGTATTCAGACTGGGAGCCATGAGAAGGTGAACTTTTCTCAGTCTGACCAGTCAGACCAGTTAGTGCAGCAGGAAACAACCAGCAGCCCTGTTATCTGGGATTATCTCTCCTCATGGCGCCATCATAAAACATTTTCTTCAGGACTTCTCTCCTTCCTCACAAAGTCTTCATCAAACTGCCTCTATTGTCGCTGCAGAAGTTTTACTGACTGGATTTTGGTTCTGAGAGAAGAAACTTCAGAGGTGGTGAGCTGTGATATCATCAGTTACGCAACATTCCTCATATCACCTGTTTATGTAGAACACACAATCCAGGTCTGTTTGCCTAAGACTGTGTTCAGATTCGCTTTCCATCCCCTTTACTTTGTTTCCTGCTAGAATGTTTTCTAGAAATGGAATTAATGTTAAATGTATTTAAATGGTTCAGATTTTTCATTTGTTTGTCTTTAATGAAGCAGATAATCTACCAGTTGAATTTGATGATTGTGAAATAAAATAGTGACAACCAGTCAGATTGAATCAGGGGCAGTGGGTGGAAATGTTGCTCCATGGCACCATCTAGTGGACAGGCTCCTCTGTCTCGCACTACTGACTGGCTCTGTACCAGTACTCGCACTTCCACCTGTATGGCGCTGCGCAGGCTCGGACTGAGAACGATTTCCGGCCCTGGCATTTGTGTATTAACCGATTTATCTTCAAGCATCACACGGCAACCATCACCCAGACTTCTATAATGCGGTTTTACTGGCTTTGGTTATAAGACGGACGCCATAGTGACTGCTGCTGCGTAACGTCCACACTCACCACATCAGCAGGGTGTCACAGACTCATGTTTACCAGCCCAAAAAATGCTCATAAACCGCCTGGATATACGAAATCTCGCCCAATTTGAACCAACGTCTATTGATCTCTTAGGCCATAAATCTAAAGATGAACAATTTGTACCCATAGACGGCCATCCTAAACAGCCAGATTGGGAAACATCCCAACCTGGCAACAATGCACGTTAAGACGGGAAACGTTAGCCTTTAGATGCAAAACCCCATCATGCACCGCAACATATTTCTGCAAAAATATTCTAACATAATTTCGCCAAATATAAGAGGAACATCATAGTTTGGTTTAAAGAAAGCATTTTAGTTTTATTATTCATCCATTATTTATTATTTAGTTTGTAGCAAGTATGTTACAGTTTGAAGAAATAGAAAATGACACCATATGCAAACCGTCACAAGGATGTGCATGACAAGGAGGGGCTATATATACTGCATGCATCATTTAGGTAGTAAACAATGGATTACTTCTTGAGATCCCTCAGTTATATACTGTCACAGGTAGGAGCTTCGGCCGGAGAGTGAGCGTTGGGGCCGCTATGATTTGATCCAGTTGAACTTTCAAAGTTAGCAAAACTATTGTCTTCATCTAAGCCTTCAACTTGGATGTTAGATCCAGTTCCAACCAGGTTATTTAAGGAGGTATTCCCTTTGATCTC